GACCTCTTTGTTCTTAGTCAATCGACAAACTTGAAAAAATTGTATGACAAAAAACGGGCACATATAATATTGATCTAATTCGGCTGCGAAATTTTTTTTTGTCGGAAAGTAATCGAGAATCTTTCGAACTTAAATAAGACCAAAATGAAATTCCCGCGATCGAGACCAGTGGAGAGACCGCGCACGGAAGCCAGCGATGTTTATCACTTACTTGCAACAGGTACTCCATGTGCAACACTTTGTACGGGCGTAACGGACGCTTGACGATCGTGGAATGCGACTGTGACATCGCGCGTGCGACGATCGGCGGCAAGGCGCGCTCCACCAAACACGATGTAAATGCGTACACACACGTGACGTCCGGTCAAATAAGATACGGGACGTCTCTTTTCGGGCGCGAAATCTTCTTTGTTTATACAGGATTGGATTCTAGATGCGTAAGGATTTCACTTGACGCTCGTAAAATTATTTACCTTTATTATATCCTTATTATTTATCAAATGTTAAACAAGGACAAATAATACTCATGAATGAACGTCAAAACCTACTCTCTATAACAGAGTCTGTCTGCGGAATAACAAACTTTTGATTGGCTTATCGTTTTTGTTAACTTCAGTAGAATTCAAATTAGAATAAGTAAGATAGTTATACAAATTAAAAAGAAATATTTACATTGTGTATCATATACAATTAAATAATAGTATAAACACACACACACACACACACACACACACACACATATGCACGCACGCACACGCTTTTTTCTAACACTTGTTTTGACAAAATTCCCGTGGCCAGACTCTGCTATCTATACAAGACGTGTTTGGTACTGACTTTTCTAGAGGAATTAGAAAGCTATTTAAGAATAAGAAGAATCGATGTATTTAGACACGTTACTTGAAATTACACACTAGTTCGAAAAACAAATTATTTATTATATCCGAAATGGCAAAGAAAATCAATTGAGCCTATTTAGAATTTGATTTGGTTATTCGATAATGCTCGCAATTCGCTGGCTTGAGTAAAAATGCCCGATTTCATAGGAGATATATATATATATA